GAGGAAGCAGACAGTCGAATTGCAGAAGCAGAAGTTGTGCTGTATCCAGCCCTCTCCATGATATAGCCCCCTCCGCTCAACACTTACTCGAAAGGAGCCTTGTCCACCTCCGCTGCAGGGTCCATCTGACAAACAAGAAATGTGACAGTTGTTGGTGAATTTCGATACTCTTGTGCTCCTTCCGTGCATGTTCCTACGGCGCAGCCAACTTTGGTACTGTTAGACGAAAGAAGGTGTGCGAGGTTGGCGCCGTCGGGTTTCGTCCAGAACGTCGTCCACCCCCCATCTTCAGGGTACGACGGCAGCGCTCTGAGGGAAGATCAGCAGTTGACATCGCAATACCATGCAGAATTAGCATTTAAATCAATTGGATCAGCGATGATGATGAAGATGAAGCGGGTCTGTGGCTGGCAAGGGGAGGTATATGAGAGTATGGCGTCTATGATTATGGAGAGCGGTTCGTCGCATTCTCTTTCCTTCTTAGCATTATACTAATGCATACAAAATCACAGAAGGCAAAAGACTACGGCACAGATATGTCAAGTCTTGTGGAATTAGACTATCTACTTGCTTGTGTGTTGGTGTTGTGCTGCGGGGAGTAAATATGCACTCACTCAAGTCCAGCCGTAAGAGCATCCTGCACCGCTTGGCGATAGTTATCGTCGTCAGCGCCTGTGAGCTGTGCGACAAATTTCGTCTTCTTCTGAAAATTCAAAAAGGAGGGAAAGGTATCAAATATATCTTCGTGTACGCAGAATTCCGCAAACGTCTAGAGGCGTATTTATGGCCGGTAGTCCTGCATCTAAGCGGTGGTTCTACTCACAAATTTTGCGATGGCGTCATCACACGTTGCGGCTGGCTCCGGTTCAGATGCCGTCGCTTGTAATTTAGCGTCTAGACCCTCAACCAGGGTGCTGTTCTCCGTCAATACTCCAATCCGTACAGACATCTGACCAACGCGGGCCAAGTTCACGGAGGTGTATGCATCTGCAAGCAACAAAAACACCCAAAGAGAGGCCGTCTGCCAGTCATCAGAAGCATGGAGGAGCGCTCATCCCCGGCAGGTCTCTAGTGTCTAAGCAATGCAGTTAAGGTGCTTATTTTTTCCAGGAACAGAAAGAAATACTCAAATCAAGAAGATAAAAGTACGTCTACATACCTTCGCCAGCTTTTTCGACGCTGAATTCCAAATCTCCTGCCGCCGGCTGTAGCCCAGAGAGCGCCACGAGGCAAACAGCAGCTGCTCCCCTGAAAATGGGTCCCATTGTCAGAAATAACAGACTAGAAACCGAACAAAACAATTAAACGGGCTACAAAGAGAAGAGTAATTAGACAAGATGAACAT